TACAACTGCCATTCACACATCATTCTCTGAAATCTCCAACAACTCCTACGACCAACATGGTCAGATCCAAACGATCTTGAATGCTTCCACGTGCAAATGCCTGACAATTCTCCCATTTTCGGCTGCAGAGCAGATCACAATCCCCATTGTAGTTCGCCATGTAGCCAAAGGATTTATGTATTTAACCGCCATATAATTCATCCATGCACTGACTATTGGCTAAGAACCAAACTTGAAAATTCAGAAAAGCTATTTTTTAAAGGTCGGACCATATAAGGGCATAACTGTCATTTCTCGATGATAAAAAGTTTTGACTAAGTGATATGTAAGAGTAGAAGAAGAGTAGAAGAAGCTACCTCATTGCAATAAACCTTAACGGAATAGCTGCTTCTGAATTGTCAGAGAATTTCGAATTTGCAAGTAACCGAACTTATTTATTGGTCAAACTAATATTATTTATGACTCGCGAGTCATTCAGAAAATGAAAACCTATTTACAATGGCTCCCGAACGTATGTATCAACGTATCTGCCTCAACCCACTTGCTAGCGACCCGTAGGGTCGCTAGTCTTATATATAAAGCTGAATGTCTGTTTGTATGTATGTATGTCTGTCTGTCTGTCTGTCTGTCTGTCTGTCTGTATGTCTGTACGTATGTTCCGAATAGAAAATTCCATTTCTGAACCGATCGGGACCAAACTTGGCACACATACACTTCGGGCCCCGGCGGGTGTCATAGGCTACTTTTCGTCATCGATCGATATCGATTTTATCGATTTTTATCGATTTTTTTTGCTGAGTTCACCTACGGGGCTGGGAGTTGGCACAGGGGGGTAATCGAGCATGGGGATTCCGAATACAATATTGGTTTTCGGGATTATCGATTACTTTTATTGATTTTATCGATTTTTTTTGTAAATTTTGACATGCGAGGCTGGGATTTTGCATAGGGGGGTAATCGAGCATGGGATTCCGAATACAATATTGGTTTTCGGGATTATCGATTACTTTTATCGATTTTATCGATTTTTTTGCAAAGTTTGAGCTAGGGGGCTGGGAGTTGGCACAGGGGGGTAATCGAGCATGCTGATCATCCCCAAGGGGGGTGATCAGCATGCTCGATTACACCCCTGTGCCAAATTCCAGCCCCCTAGCTCAAATTTTCAAAAATCGATAAAATCGATAAAAGTAATGGACGATCTTGAAAACTAATATTGTATTCGTAATCTGCATGCTCGATTACCCCCTGTGCAAAATCCCAGCCTCGCATGTCAAAATTTACAAAAAATCGATAAAATCGATAAAAGTAATGGACGATCCTGAAAACTAATATTGTGTTCGTAATCAGCATGCTCGATTACCCCCCTATGCAAAATCCCAGCCTCGCATGTCAAAATTTACAAAAAATCGATAAAATCAATAAAAGTAATCGATAATCCTGAAAACCAATATTGTATTCGGAATCCCCATGCTCACTTCCCCCTGTGCCAACTCCTAGCCCTGTAAGTGAACTCTGCAAAAAAATCGATAAAAATCGGTAAAATCGACATCGATCGATAACGAAAAGTGGACTGTGACACCCGCCGGGGCCCGAAGTGTATGTGTGCCAAGTTTGGTCCGGATACGGCGGAGCCGGGTAAGCCAGCTAGTCTACAATAAAGCAGTGGTTTTCGTTCAACTATTGGCGCTTCTACCTTTGACATGAATGCGATTGTAAAAATTGGTGTCAAGCGCTATCCCATTGCTAAGCCTCTGATTTGTAAAGTAATGCCCTGACCATCTAAACATAGTGCATTCAAGGCATGCGCGAAGAAGGGTCGTTATGGCGGGTATATTGATTCCATAGAGTTTTAGCGAGGATTGATGCTCTGCGGGCAGCTCACAAATTGCTTGAATTGCGGCACCATTTGATACGTTAATGTATAACGATTTAACATCAAATGATTCGATGGCGCAATTGCAGCTAAATTGTGACCTGCGAAAGTGTTCGGGGAGCATACTGGTGTTAGTAAGATGCGCGGAACATATTTCAATAACTGCACCAAAATTAAGTTGAGAAGCCAAGCGATTCTATCGGTCAGACCCCCTATACCTGTGATGATTGATCGTACCTTGAACTCGCGCGGATTATTCGATGTCAGTCCTACTGTGGGTGGTTTGTGTGTCTTGATAAGGTTGTAGAGCACAGGACAGGCGGGCATATCATTTTTTAGACGCTTAGTAAACTTTTGGTTAATCCAACAGAACGAGCAGTCTCTTGCCACACCTTGTTAAGGCGGCGGTATTGGCTTTTAAATTCATCGAAAGAAGATGGTACGTATACGGTTTTGTCTTCCAGATGACACTTCGTTATCGCCCTGTCCACATCACGTGAAAGGATAAAGAGTTCTCCACTTTTATCAATTACCAGTGCGTCACCTCTGCTTCGCAGAGGCTCGCACTGGCTCTATATCTAGGCCCTACTCATTCTCTTATAATGATGACATTGGAACTCACCGAGTGATGCCGACTATCACGAACAAAATGTAAACAACTACTCATTCTGAAAGCTTTTTTATGTAAAATCGGTGATTTCGCGTGGATGAGACTTTTTGCAGGGAAACAAACGCAAATTTTCATAGGTTTTTGATTTTCCCATGGTCTTTGCAGTTGCAATAAGAACAGCAATCACCGTGGGCTACATATTTGTGCAAAAATCTCGTCAAATGGTCTGGTAAAACCTTGGCAAATTGACCATTTACGCAACTAATACTTTTTTGGGGCCGTTCTTGTAAAGTAATGGACTTTTGATCACTTTTTTGAGCCTAATTTCATGGCTTGCACATTTACTTGCCATAAACATCCACGACTCTGAAAAAAGTGGAATTACGGACCCAATTTTGCGGCCCAAACGCAAAGTGGATCCGTTTGACACGCAGTTTCTGAGGGATCCACTCAACGAATCTGCTCGTGCTTTTGCATGTTCGACTTTCTTGCGGGTAGCATGCGTTGTGCAAAATTTGGGCCCAGGAGGTTGGCTGGAACCCGCCCTACGAATTTCGTAACAGACACACTCTCACACACACACACACACAAAAACACGTAAACACCCTTAGCCCGTTATTATAAGTTACTAGCTGCGGTCCCCGGTCCCGCCCAGGCCGAGAGTCCAGAATGGCCCAGCATAGGGTGTGCTTGAAGATGTATACTTACCAGTCCTCCACTTTCTTCAGTTCACATCTTCTGACTCTCCTGCTTCACCTCCTTGTCAGTTCCAGCGCTCGTGTAGTATCCGTGGTGAATAGTCTTCTTTCTTGACCGGCTCGCTTCATGACACCGCATGCTCCTCACCGCAAAATGTAAATGATCTCTACCACCCCTTACTACTTAAGTTGGAGAAATGAATGGTATAGCCTTCATTTTCCTAGATTTTAGTAAACAAAATCAATAAATCGATAGAAGGACTCAGCGAATTGTCGAAAAAAGTAGCCTATCTGATGCGCAGTGTCTCATTTAAAGGGAAACAAAATTCAGCCTCTTTGGTTCACATACAAAGGAGTCTATAAGCCACAAACATCCTAACAAACACGGTACAGTGTTTGAGTTTTATATATATATATAGATGATAGAAATTTTGATTTTCCCACCGTCACGTAAATCGCGGAGTTCTCGTAAGCCATTGCGTTGTGCAGGAGTTAGATTACTAAAATTGCGCTTTTTAGAAAGTTGACAGATAACTGAGAATAACGATGTGGCGAAAACGCGAAATTTAGTGTCAACTGCATTGTTTGGCTTCTGTGGTTTGCAGTAAAATTTCGGAAAAGGTATAGAGGGGAAGGTCACGACGCTGTTTTCGATACACTTTGTGCGTTCCTCTTCTTTCGCTTTACGCCGTAATTCTTGATGTACAAATTGGAGATTGCTGATCATCTTACGTGCAACCTGAGGCCCTAGATATTGAGTTGGTGAGAAGCTTGGATCAAGGTCATACCGAGAGCAATTGAAAATTGAGTGAAAATATTGCTGACTTTGACCTTCCAGGCTCTGAAGAAGGCCAACCGCCGAAAGTAGGTCAATAAAAGCTCACAACAATTTTGTCTCTTTGCTAAATGCTATGATATACGACTACATAATATGACAAGATTAAAAGACAGCCGAACATGGAAAGTTTTATGTGACGTACCAGCAAAACAATGTCGGCTTGTAAAAGAAGCATTGGTTCTGAGACAGAAGATCCAGAGCGTCAGTCTATCCACTTCCTTTGCCGATGCGAACAACATTCAGTCATTCCGAATTTCATCGCAAGGAGGCGACTGCATGAAACATGCGGACTTCCCAAAGGATGTCGACAAGTCCAGAATATCGAAGAACAGCTTTTACACACTGTTGTGCGAGCGAAGAGAGACCGCATTTCAATACTGAAGAAGTGTTTACATAAAGAACAGTGTTGTGCACGTTTATTGTCTAATCACCTTTGGATGAGAATAATGGGTGAGTCAAAGTCAATCTGTAATTATGTTCGCTCTGTTGCCAAGACCAGACTGCAGAGGAAATTCGAGCGGTTAGTTAGTACGAAAGAAAATCACGGTTCACGAGTAGCTGATACAAACCTCTATTCAAATGAACAAGACCATACTGATGGAAACTCTGTCAACGTGCTAAATGTTCCGCGAGTTTCTCTTGTCGCTGATATACTCATCTCCGATAATGCGCTCTCGGTATTGGACCTTGGTCCAAGCTTCTCACCAACTTATTTTCATGGATTTAGGGCCAGTCAAATGAAAGGAGATAATTTCAAGTTTGAGTTTCTCAGCTTTGAAGACACGGAATTTTGGCCTGAACAAAGATCTGCAAAAACAAAAGTGTATGACAGAAAATAGTAGAAACGGGCTTTCCAATAGTCTGGATGGTTTTAGAGAAAAACGATTTTTGAATGAAAACTAGCGTTTGAAAGAAGGTAGGAAAAACGTGCATTAATTATGAACCAACCTAATATTATTCAAAAAGGGAAACGTTACATACGTTGTGGTAAGTCCAATGCAACGTACGAAGAAACTCCATTCTTGACTTTGGCGAGTCTCATTATTTTTATACTGAAACTATTGAAGTTCAGAAAGGAAAAACGAATTGAATCAGTGGTGAACTGAATTTCCTAAACATTTGTCTAGCAGACATATCAAAGCACTCGGGTTTTTGAAACAGTTACAGATTTCTACAGATTTCCAACTTTGAATGCCCTCTATCCTTTACTAGCTGGCGAACTTGCCTAATCGTGGCGTTCAAGCCAGCCCTGTTACATGCTACCATACTATTATGCAGGGAGTTATAAAAAGTATACTATTCTCATCTATCAACTTGCGGTTAATTATAATTGAATTATTGGCATAAGTTAGACTAAAGGCTAATTATCAGATTGTTATTTAAGTTTTATAACACTTTGATTTTTACCGCAAAAACATATGCTTATTGACAAGTTTTAGGATTTTATTCAAAGCAAAACAAGTCCTACAAAATGGCATGAAGATTCGTCTGGTTTCTACCCAGATCAAGTTCGAAAGTAAAATCTAAGTGAGTTCTGGGTACTAAGGAACTTGAGAAAAGTTCATACCTTTGTTTATAGAAGTGTTACGCTCCCACTCCTTCACGCACAAACACCTCAAATCAAACATTCATATAAAGTGCGGTTCATAATTATACGAACACCCAAAATTTTGTAAGTTTTTGGACTTTTTGGGAGAAACTTGAAAAGCCGTTGGTACCACGCGATAGAACACAGCCGAAAACGGTGTTTGATCCATAAGAATGGAAATTGATGTCAACTGTAGGAGTGTTTTTGCGGCTAATGCGAATTTTTAGCGGTTCATAATTATACGAACACCTCAAACAAAGGTCCATTTTTCTTTCAAGATTGCTATCACTTGAGTCCAAATTTTTCGTAGGGTTACAGTAACAAAGTCTGACATATCTGCTGCACACTGAACCCAGTGCAGTTCAAAAAGAGGACCGTACTTTATTAAGAAGGCTCTAAATGCTTTTGGAGTGATTGCGCTCCAAAAACATCGGTTCTTCTGTTGTTTACGCGCTCCAATTAGCTTCTACCAAATCTATGAGACAAAATAAGTTCTCGCGATAGGTATTTTGTTTGACGCTTGAAAAATCTTTGCGTTTTCGTGCCATTTTTCACCAAGTTCCAACCTTACCACAGAGTTAGCACGATTTCGAGCCTCAAAACTCAGCTTCTGAAGCCGTACAATGAAGTAAGCGATAGTATGTAGAAGTTTACAAGACTTTATATTTGGCTAGAAAAAATCAGCAGCGTTGAGCGTTTGTTTTCGTCACGCAAAAGTTATTTCACCAGAAATACTGCTTTTACTATTGCTATCACACCTTTGTTTGGTTTGTAGCTCCAAAGCCGCAAGATCAGTTCTAGAAAAAAATCAAAAACTTTGGTACAGAAATATCATTATGCAAGCAATGCAGCTGCTTCATATCAAATGTTTGCGAAGAGAGAAGCTGAGTTTTAAGGCTCGAAATCGTGCTAACTCTGTGCTAAGATTGGAACATGGTTGAAAAACGGCACGAAAACGCAAAGATTTTCCAAGCGTCAAACAAAATACCTATCGAAAGAGCTTATTATACTCATGGCTTTGGTAGAAGCTAATTAGAGCGCGTAAACCACTGAAGAACGGATGTTTTTGGAGCGCAATTACTCTAAATGCATTTAGAGCCTTTTGAAAAAAGTAACGCTCCTCTTTTAGAATTGCACTGGGTTCAGTGTGTAGCAGATATGTCAGAGTTTGTCACTGTAACTTTTCAAAAAATTTGGACTCAAACGATTGCAATCTTGAATGAAATTGGACTTTTGTTTGAGGTGTTCGTATAATTATGAACCGCTAAAAATTCGCATTAGCCGCAAAAACACTCCTACAGTTGACATCGATTTCCATTCTTATGAATCATACTAGCGGCCCAGTGGAATACTGGTGTAAGAAATTGCTTCCTTGAGCCAAGATTGATATTTACAAAAGTAAATATGCGAAGTGCAATAATGCAATGCAAACACATATGAACGAAGGTATTTTTAGTACTTCTGTATGTATTGAAGCGGCTTCAATGCATCTTCACATAACGAATATCTAACCTTGAATAACAAAACTGCGAATAAAACTCGTTTTCTTTCAATACATAAACTGCTTGAAAGACGCTTAGATTAACAAAGAATTATCGATAGGAAATTATTGAGAATGTGCTTTCAGTAAAGCTCATTCTCGAAAGTAAACATGCACAAACTACACCTCGATTTCTCTGGACTTGATCTGCGCATTAAATAACTTGAATAATGCTTCTCTTTCTCGTAAAGCATCTTTCTCGTGGCCCTTTTTTCTGTGGCTCTTCCTGTTTAATGTATTGCGTGTTCCTTTCGGTGTGAATTTTCATGAGACGTTGCGGCTTTTTCCGTAAAAGCATTGGAAACGCATAATTTCCACCTCGCTTTACTTTCATATATTAGTTCTTCTGTCCGATTTTCTTGGCCAAAAGGGCGTAAGTTCCCCATCCGCTCTCCCCTGAAACCCTCGCAGTCAAATCATACACTCTCTCTCTTCGTTACTCAAAGAGACTGTTCAAAATTCCCTTATTTCAAAAGCTTACCGGCGAAAGACACAGTATGCTTCTTCCCTTCAGAGTATCTCCGATAAGGATGCTCACAGCGTAACCCCTCAACTTAACCGTGCAAAAGCCCTAGACCCCGAACGAAAAAAAGGTACGCTACTGCAACTTACATATAGTTCATTTTTGAAATCGTGACGACGGATTTGACTGCGGTCTTTGCGCCCCAGGAGCATAAAACACTTATTCAAAAAGGCACCACCTCAGAGCTAAACTCAGTCACTTTCCAATGTGTAAATACTATCTACGTGAACAGAAAAACCTTTCAAATAGCGATGAAAATGAAGAAAATGCGGTTGCCAGAACACGCGTGCGGTTGCGCGCGGTCGCACCCTCTTCATTTTTCGAATGTCCTATATAATGAATATAGTCTATACGTGGAGCACGCCGCGTTCTGCAGCGCATTCAGCCTAAGCGAAAGATGGGGAAGAAAACCTTCTTCGCTTGCCAAGTTAGAGTGATGCAAATCATCCATGATACATGCTAGCAATTCATCCATCGACACTTGTTTCTTTAATATGGCCACTACCGGAACTTTTTGAAAAAAATTTTAGACTGTGCTTTGATTACTTTCAAACACTAAATACTTGTAACATCGTTCCAAAAAAAGGTTGAAAGAATTAAGTACTTAGTGCTTTGTAAGTACTCAAAATTGCAGAAAATGTTATCATCAGAACCAAAATCACAAAAAGCTGCAGCGCTTTCAACTGCTATGCTAACTTTGAACGCTCATAACTCACCAACCACTGAAGATTGATTGAAGGGAACGGTACCAATAAAAAGAGGACAACAAGCTCTTAAGCAAAAGTGCTCTTAGATTTTTGAATTATTTTCATTGTAGGGTCGAAATGCGGCTCTCAAGTGGAGGTACCTTCGAATCTTGATGCATCAAGTTTGCGGCGAATGTTAAAAAGTGCTAATCAATACGTTGCTATTTTTCTGTTATAGAATGATATGTGGAGAAGTCAGCTGTCTTTTGGAGGCTTCTAATGTTAGCAGCAAAAAAGACCCCCAGGACGAGGAATCGAACCCGAGCCTGGCAGCCGACAGTCTCACCCACTAGCCACTAAGCCATGAATGACGCATTTCAACATCGAGATAAGGCGCCCCACAAGCTTTTCTTTTTCTATTCTGAAGCAAGAAATGTTGGAGAAGGAAGATGGGGTTCAGGGTACGGTATTCGGGCTCACGCAACGAATTTAAAGACCGCAAAAAGTGCTAATCAATACGTTGCTATTTTTCTGTTATAGAATGATACCGTTTTCGGCTGTGTTCTATCGCGTGGTACCAACGACTTTTTGAGTTCCTCCCAAAAAACCGAGAACTCACAAAATTTTGGGTGTTCGTATAATTATGAAAAGCACTTTACTAAGCTGGAAAGAGAGTTCTCGGACATTTTTAAACGGAACTTGTTTATTGAAATCTAATGCATGCACATGCGCAAAAATTTGCGGCTGTGCTTTCTCTCGCCTGCAGCTGAGATGTATCTTTGATTCAACTGGTTTAGCTCCGTCAGGGCAGGCCGCTCGCGCCCGCGACGCACCTGCGCCTCTCGCGCGCGAGTGCTCTCTGATCATTACCTAGCCTTAATTAGGTCACGAAGCCCGCCTTTGCCGAAGCTCAGCCAGTTGAATCAATTGTAAGCAAGCGGGAGGAGCCCAGAATTGATAGGGGAGGAGTGTGCCACTTTTCAATCTCCTCGTCTTTCTTGTTATTTGAGCTCAGATTCCGTATAAACTGTGCATGCAAGTATGCAAGTATGCGTGTACTATAAATTGATGTATGAGGGGTTTCATAACGTTTATAGAAGTTGAAGGTTTGGGCTAGTTCAAACTCTATGCTTCAAAATGTTCGCTTGAATTTCGACAGAGAACATTGATAAGGCTTGCGCTTACTACGTTTTGCAGAAATTGCTTTCCTCTTCGCGGGTGTGCAGCATGCCCCAATTAGTGCTTATATTGAAACAAAACCTTGTCTAAATGCAATGTTCGAGAACTTTCTTTCCAACCTAATAAATCATTCCTATATTATTTTTTCCTCAGTTAGAAATCGAGTAACCGCGTATTTTCGTGGTTTCACCTATGCTATTAGACTGTTTCCACTTCTATATCATAAGCCTTTAAAGGCAGTGTCCCGGCAGATTTTGCACCTCCACCTTTTTGCATGTTTTAGGCCTTTTCGCCACGTAGAATCCGAATTTGAGCTTTGAACGGGCTGAAAAGGCCGATTTTGGGGCGTTTTCCTAATTCAAAAAAGCAGCTTGGACGAGATTTTTGATGGAAAGTTGGGGGAGGTCCTCAGACGAAGATCCTGCCGCCTGTAATTCTTGCTTTGGATAGCATGCATCATGGAGGAGAGCGCTCGTGGGGTCCCGCGCCGAACAAGCGGGGAAGGCCGTCCAAGCGCGCGCCAGTTGGGGTTGCGCGCGCCGGTTCAAGGGCCATTTTCTCGGCCCAGGGGGAACATCACCCAGCCGGAGTGCGCCTGGAGGTCGATGGGGTGACCAGGAACCCCACCACACGTATATCCCCCAGGACCCGAATCTGCCGGGACACTGCCTTTAAAAGGTTCAACTGTACGTTTCCAGCTTTCCAGAAGCCTTAGCTTTCAAGGAATATCAAGTTTAGCTTTTCTTAGTAAATTGTTTCTACTAAAGTTGATATTCAAGTACTAGGGCTTGTATAAAGCTGAATATTTACAGTTGTACTTTTGAAGGTAGGAAGTTGCAACCATTTATGTAGCGAGAGCACAGCATCGCTGTGGCAAAGAAAATCTTCAGGCTATCTACCCTAGGAAAAGATACTAACTGGTACATATGGATGTCTGATGTAGTATGCTAATTTTTGGGCATCCGTAAACACTGACTCTTCTGCGCACATGCCCATACCATCATAGTCTCTTTTCCTGCATTTTCTGTGCAATTGGAGCACTTTTCATTTATGCTGTGGTATAGTGTCACTGCAGATATGGTCTTTCAGTGCGATTCCTAAGACCCATCTTAGCATCCTTGCCTCCATGACACTGAGCCTGCACTCCTCGCTCCGCGTACGTGGCCAGCACTCCTGCCATACAGTGCTGTTAAGCGGATAACGGTCCGGCGTAGTTGGGACTCGTTGCATCGGCATTCTTTTATTATATAGAGCTTTTGTGAAGGCTCTTCATTTCATCCATGCTGGGTTCATCCTGCCTACGACCTCCTCTTGTAGGTCTCCTTCTATTGAGATGTGACTGCCTAGGCACTTATATGAGCTTGTCTTCTTTAAATCTTCACCATCAATGCTTACGGTACCTGGAGTTTGTTTCCCCACTTCCATTTATTCTGCCTTCCTGGTGTTGAGCTACAAGCCATACAACACTAGCCTGTATTTCCTGTTTTGCACTTGGCTTGATACGATGTGGTAGATCAACTAGGTGGCCGGAAAGTATGGGCGTCACATTTTTCATTTAATGATTTTTCACAGCAAACAAAATTCTGTAAAATTATTTTTGCGGCCAAAAAAAAACAGGTATCTTAGTGTGTTAACACTGCAACACTGAGTTCCTGCACATGCATACATCAGCAGCTTACCTTGAAGTTGATGTTTGGAAAATGCTACTCGAAGAATGTACCCATTGCGAGTCCGTTGAGATAACCCGATTATTAATCAAATAGATTTTAAGACCTGAGGTTTTGTAAAGCACATTCCGAGGAATAACACAGTGCCGTAATAGCAAAAAATTCTCCTTTCCAAAATAAAATACGGTACTACAAATATGTCTTGTCTGAATCGCCGCAGCGCCTTCAAGAGAAAGTAGACTCAAAAGTCCCGTTTGCAACAGAAAACTTCAGTTTGCGTGATTTTCACTTATCTCAATATAGAGACTGTTCATAAGCTACAGGCATATTAGCCTTTATAGAATACAGAATCATCTCATCATATCTCAGAAAAAAGATATATTACATGCTGTAACGCCCATACTTATCGGCAACCCTGTATATCCACTGAACGTACTCCTCTGACAACCTTGTGCTTCGGTAAAATCCATCATATGACCTTGTGAGGTTATAATCAAAGGCTTTCTCAAGGTCCACTAAGGTGCATGCAATCCCTTCTCCTTCTCTCTATATCTCTCCATCACTATCCAAGTGAAGTGGATGGCGTCGGTTGTACCTACTTCTTTCACGAACCCATGCTGATTCGGTGACAACTCTATGATGTCTAGAGGTCGTTTTTGATTATTCGGTAGAAGATCTTCCGAGTGTGGCTCACCAGTCGGATCGATCGGTAGGATGCAGAGTCTGCTATGTCTTCTTTGCCCCAGGATCACGTGTGCCAGTTTAGTGGACTCAATCTTTCAAGATTGCTTAAGATCGTTCTGCGTTCTCTTGCAGACTTGGTAGGTTGTAAGCAATGCTTGTTTCGGCGCGTTGTTGGTTTTCAGTCTTCACTCATTGGTGGGTGTCCTGGTCTCTGTGGCTTTCCTGATGTGCCTGTCCACTGGGATTCTGATGTCGAGAAGTAGTGGTCTGTGTTAAGGTATGCAGCTCTCAACGGGAATGACTTTACAGTCCTTTACGTTTCTGAGATCACGCTGTCTGATAGCCAAGAAGTCTGTCTGCGTTCGTCAGTTGTCACTCGTACACGTGTTCATCGCTCTTGATGTAGTATGTGTTTCCCAAACTAGGTCGTGAGTTGAGGCGAGTTCCAAGATGCGCTTACCTTCTTCGTTGCATGTTTGATACCTGTGGCTTCCGTGACATTTCCCATTTTCCATGAGATTCCAGCTCCTTCTCGCCATTCTCCCAAGTTCGTTGAGGTCTGCTCCTAGCAGAAATGTCTCAGCCAGTGAACCTGAGCTGATGTGGTCAACAAGCTCCTGCCAGAACGCTTCCTTTTTTTCATCCTTACATCTGACTTGTGGCGCATAAGCGGTTACTCATAAGACCTCCTAGTATCTATACTTATGCTTCATCAGACAATTGCTCATCGTTCAACGTCAACTATATCGCCTCTTGGAGTCTCCGAGACAACTATGCCAATCCTGTTTCTGGCGCAGGCGGCACCGTTGTAGAGGAACTTTTATGCATTCCTGATATCGTGTGACTTTGCCCCGCTCCACTTCGTTTCCCGAATGCAGGCTATATAGACTCGTCGTCTCTTCAGAAGACCTGCTAACTCTCAAGGACGAGAGGTGAGTGTACTCATACTGATGATATAGAAGGAGAGTTTACGATGCCTTGGATCGTTGCCCCTGGTGAACTAGCTCTTTAGCCGTACCCGTTCACTTTGCTGAGGCGGTAACCCTCACCCACTATTCGCATACGTCGGGCTCGAATGCGCGTCGCTTACGGGGGACGCCCTAGCGGGGACTCGAGATTCCTTATGAGACATGTTTGCACTTTGATGCGACGGGTGTTCCTCCACCGGCTTGTCGCATGTCCTTCTTTGAAAGAAGACAGCTTGGCGCTGGATTTGGGAGCAGAATTTTTGCCACTGAGATTAGGCTCAGGGTGGAATCGAACCCGCGACCTTCAGCACGGTAATGTTACGTAGAGCCTTAACCATTGGACTAACACTGCTCTTAAAGTTCATAAACGCATGTAACGACAAAATACTGTTAGTTCGCTCCAAAAATTCAACTATCATGAACACACTAAGATTAAAGGTAGGCAGATGTTTTGAACACTATCCGAAGCAGCTCTTTCTCCTCTTTCGGCAGCTAGTCGCTTTGCAGCCACTAAATTAATGGCGAAATCGTGGTTTTTACCATGTCGAATTTTAACAACCTTTGAATATTTTTATTTCTGACTTTTGAAAACACATAGAGTGAGAAAAGTGCAACAATACGACTTGCTGACAGTTATATCTGACTTTTTAAAATTTATGAAATTGGTTTTTAGTTCGCCAAATTATAGTGGCCTTTTCAAGCCTAATAAAACATCAAACGGCGCTAGGGTCTCAGTCGACGCAGTTTTTTTAATCTTTCTGATAGCCGTTTCCTTCCCAATTCTTGTGATTTTTGGCACAAAGTTATCACATTACAAATCTTGATTTTGAAAGCGCCTAGAACTGTACGCGGAAGTGCAAAAGTTGATATATCAAGCGGTGAACGCTCAGTTGCTTTGTAAAATTGGCATTCATAGATGCTTTTTAAAGTATTTGAATGGTAAAGAATTATATGTATTTGAAGAAGCTTTTGAAGCTTCTTCAAATACATATAATATGCATATACATATGAATACAATACAGATACATATGAAGCTTTTGCGTATTTCACGACTTAGCAAAACGACTTTTGAAAAAGTTAGCTTGAAAACACTGAAAAATCAGCTATGGATGCCAAAAAATTCAGTGCGCTATATTTTTTTTATTCTGTTCACATGCCATTAAAGCTCTTCCAGAAGTATGAAGAGAAATTTCAGAAACTGTCAAATCTAGACATGTTAGAAACATGAGTTTAGAACTCTGGCGATTACTTTAGTGACTACGCGAGTAACCAGTTCAGAATTGTAACTTCTAGAAGGAGAAAAAAGATGCGTTGAATAGGTCTTAGCGCGATTGCCTTTCTTCGTTCCGCCCTCATGATGAGTTGAAAAACGAAAAGAGCTTTTTTAAACAAGATGCACGAAGTAGCCTTTATTCAGGTAATGGATCCAGTCCAAGAAAACACTTTTTAGAGCGCGCGGGATCAATATTTATGTAATCAAAGATAATACTTCAAGGTCTATCACTTATCTAATATATTAGTATGAAAAAGTTAATTGCCGAGCTTTGAGTAAAGTCGGCTCTTTTTTAAATTTGAGTAGTAAATTATCCAAGATATGATAGAGTAACGCCGGCAACTACGTTTGACCATGGGTGCAAAGCGTTCTCGACTTCCATCTCATGATAAATGGAAACTTCTCCATGCAGTGAAAATCATTTCTTCAAAATTTTCACACGGTTTGTTTTGGGAGAAATTTCATTTCCAGCTGATAGCAAAAATTAGACCAGTTCACTCGACTCACTTTTCCAATGAGGAGTTTTGTGGTGGTAACAGCACTTTATCTACAACGTATACGCGGCTTCCATCTTCTAGCTTGAAGACGTCTCTGAAATGCAATGTAGAATTTTCTAACTTTGATGGTCCACAAGGTGGACAACAGCTCTGCCCTTCATATCTCCTCAAAAAGAGTACAGATCTCTCAACTTAAGCAAAAATTCAAATAAAAAGAAAAATTGCAAAGTTTTATTGTAAAATTTAAGCTTTTCTCTCTTGACGCTATGGTTTGAAACTCACAGCTGTCTTTCGTAGCCGTATGTTTTGACTAGCAGCTCTCCGAAATTCTTCAAAGGTAATATGCCACTGGCTATGCTATCACTTTGGTTGAGATGACCTTGCAAGGCGTAGCATGAGCAGATCACAAAAGTCTGGAATTGGGTGAAGATTGAGCATTTTCCTGTGTTTGATTCGGTTATTATGTACATATTTTCTCACGCTTCGCTGATCCCACCTCTAGGAGAAGAAGCTTCAACGGTGTATGAAGGATGGGATGAATTCTATACATCTTGTGGGTATATATATATATATATAACTAGACTTGTGTTTCTTTTGAAGAACAGCGCTGTCGTGTGTTTTTTCTAAAAAGGAAGCCTTGACTATCGTGTGGTAGATCCACGGCAGAGACACAAATTAAAACGCAAAATAAAATGATGGATTACATATTTGTGTAAAAATGTCTTGACTCGAACAGCAGAAGTTCCAGAAATGTCTTTTGCAAACAAGGAAAGGGTTCAAACCCAACAATCTTATGCTTGAAGTTGACATCAATTTCAGTGTATGTCAGTTTCATAGCGGATCTCTTACCTGAAGGATAAGACTTAACCAAAGTTTGCAAACTTGCACATAAAATCACTGGAAATATTAAGGCTCCAATGTCAGAATGTATTATTATGTTCGCAATTTTCATCTACTTTTTCCTCGAAATCAATATATTTCGCGTTTCGGTGCAAAAATGTGTTTGTTTGGTAATATGTAAGAACCATGAAACATGTTTTTGCTGGCCTTCCTATTATCCATGCAATTTGAACCACAATCTGCATTTACCTTGATGAAAGCTACAAGTTTCTCAATTCACAGATTTACTTGACTTACCTATTCTTTGATGTAGTGAAAGTTTATATTTCGCAAAAATTTCAAGAAAAAACAATCATTTTGGAATCGTTTTGGAACCATAAGCTTCGTAAGCTTTTTGAAGCCTTCCTTTCCAGGTGGGTTCTTATAGAGTAATACCTCTAACTGTGACAACGATCTGAGTAATAAGGCAGAGGTATAGATTTCCACGCATTTCTTACAGCTAGAAACGACAGATTATCACATAACTGTTCGGCGCGAAGTTCTCTAATTGTTGAGCGAGAAGGTCATTCGAGCGTTTTTGCCGCCTAACTTCGAAATAGTGAGAAACGACTTTCTATCCTAAACGCTCCGCGTTTTCCGCCTTGTGAACATTACCGGTTGGTTAATTACTGCTAAAAATGCATTTGCCCTCTCCAAAACCTGCATCAAATTGATTTGTCAAGAAACATAAAACTCTCGAAAACAGAGCTTTCGCATTTTGTGACGTAACGTATAGCGTATACGTGACATGCAAGAATAGTACTAGGTTGTAACAAAAGTTCCCGGGTTGGGTTTGGAAATTTCATATTCAGACCCATTTTCTTCCCACTTGGTCGAACCTTAACGACAAATACTTTTATATGGTTCTGTAGAAGAAAGCCTAAGCTTTCCACAATCGCATCTAGTTTCTATCGATATCAGGCCGGATTTGATCTATACACCAAAAAGGAAGTCTGCTGCTACGAAAATTTTGAAATTTTTCCTTTCGCTGCTTTTTTCATAATAAACGAAGAACATTTGCGAGTTGGTCAGTGCGGATAAGCAGGATGTTCACTTCAAAACCGCAGCTCTGCTCGGATTTCACAACGAGCACACTAAAATTGCGAGCTCTCAAACTTGCCTTTGACCGCACCTGTTCTCGTAGTCGGCGTCGATTTTGTAAGGATCGTCATGCCTCTATGATGCGCCCAAAAGATGTGCAAGGCATTACCCCAACGGTATTTGCAGCAATCGAAGATTCGATTTCATGGAAAAAAGGAAGACTTCGAACTTGATTACTCAAAAAACTGGGCATTTTCAGGGTGCAAAAATGGCCAATTTTTTTCAATTTTTCAAGCAAAATTTTTCTACAGACCGTTTTAAAATTATGCCACAGTCTACAAACAGCCCCAACAGAATTCTACATAGCTACCGGATATGAGCTCTGCAGTTCTCTTTGTGTACACTAATTTCAAGTCGACATTTTTCCCTATTGCGCATGTTGATGGCCCGAGATGAAGTGCTGAGGACCCAAAAAACTGATCATATCTTGCAGACAGCATTGCTTTTGCCGCAAAGTTTGCAGCAATCAAAAGAAATTAACCTGCTTAAAGATACAGCATTCTGAAAAAAAATTTCGCAAATGCACGGGAACTTTCGTTACAACCTAATGAATGTGCGTGGCACCCAAAAACGGAAGTAGACATGTACATTTCTTCCTGAAATCAATGAGTACGGAAACAATAACGAGCAAAAATTCAACTTACAGAGATATTCGCGCTAAAATTCGGAGAATTTGGAGAGGATTTTAGATTTGTTGCTATGTAGCATGATACTGGTGCATTGAAAGGTGAGGAGAAATGATAGTCTGCATATTCTAATTTATACGTTTTATTAATTCATGATGAAAAAAAAACACTGGAGGACAGCATGCTACTGGAGAGATGATACCGCTTGACTACGAAGTTTGTTCGAGGACTTCTCTTAGTGATAGTCTTTAACGAAACATGTTTGGCTGACCTGTAATATCTTTAGGAGAAAGGGTATAGGCAAGCAAAAAAAACTTGGCGTCGTCTTTAATGAAACAAGTTTGCAAACACGGAATGACGCATTTTTATTCACCATTGGTCACACGGAATTACTGGCAACAAAGAGAAATCAGAGATTTTTGTGATTTACAGCTTGAGTTCTAGAGACTCAGTGAAGTGATGTAAAGAAGTGATGTAGCAAGTATTGTAGTACTGCAGCTAGGAATCCTGCAAACCCTTGTCGTGATGACATCAGCTTCCGACGATGCAAGAATTTTCTGCACTTAGGGTTCTATGTTTATGAAACGAAAAAAAACAAACAAGAGAAGCAAAAATTACCACAAGACACTATCTCTCAAACTTGCACCAGTACGCCAGGACGTCTGTTCCTTTTTCTCTCTCCAAGGTAGATAATGTGATTTGGAATCACCATCTTTTTCCACTACTGTATTACGGTAGGACGAGAAGGGTTTAAAGGCATTCAGGGCCCTATTTCGCCCCAGAGAGCAAATCAAGCAACTTGGAAACTCATATACTAGGCTAAATAGGGTCGCCAAAACCAAATATGAACTTTGAATAATACCACAGTGCTTCCTTTATAACTTATGCCAGGTAAACTGCGATAGCTGTCTTTACAATGCTCCCTAAAATTGTGTTTACATTTGAAAAGCTTTGCAGAGCTTAAAAAGTTGAGTAATGAAATCAGGGAGCGTGAAAACCTTGATATACCGCTTTTCAGATTTTTTGGAAACTTTTTTGAAACGCGATTAATTTATCATGACGCTGTAAGCTAAAAGTTATTACCGTAATCCTACCGTAGTAAAGAGTGACTGGTGATTCGCTCCATACTGTAAATCTAAGTTCAAGCCGGTTTTACAAAATGGTACCTGAACTTAGGGAAAAGACTTCCTGGGAAGAGAGATATTGATGATCAAACGGTGCATACATACTTTTTGGGACGCCCTGTATTAGGTCGTTCCAAAGGTAATTTCGCTTTTTTCAAACGGGCGCCACATTTGATGAAACAAAGATTTCTAAGAAATTTTGGTAGCATTCGATGCAGCATTTCATCCTCTTCTAAAGTTATGAAAGCATTGCAGCGCAGTCAACGAGCTTTCGGAAGACCTATGCTTTTTGAGATGGTCAAGTTTCACAATATTTCAAAACTTTCATATCAATCCTCAGGAGGAGTTTAAGTAACGATTCGATAGTGTAAACCTTATAGAATACAGTACTACTTTTTCCTCTTTTCATAGCTCGCCATAATTTTTCAAAAAATATTTCAACAAAACCATTGGATTTTGGCAGGCCTACATCAGTCATAATCCATCAAACCATAATTATTCGGAACTAGCTTGCTTACCCGGCTCCGCCCGGCCCTGTGAAAACACTGTAATAAAGGTCCCATCCCTATCCCTGTACAACCTTTCCCTGTGCCCACTTCTACACTTCTTTTCCAGTTCCCTGTGTTGTTTTCAAAATCCGCATGCCCACTTACCCCCTGCGCCAATTCCTAGCCCTGTAGCTCAAACTTCACAAAAAATCGATAAAATCGATAAGTAATCGTTGATCCTAAAAACTAATATTGTATTCGGAATCCCCATGCTCGGTTACCCCCCTGTGCAAACTCCCAGCTCCGCAGGTCAAACTTTACAAAAAATCGATAAAATCGATAAAAGTAATCGATAATCCTGAAAACTAATACTGTATTCGGAATCCCCATGCTCGATTACCCCCCCCCCTGTGCCAACTCCCAGCCCCCTAGGTGAACTCTGCAAAAAAATCGATAAAAATCGATAAAATCGATATCGATTGATGACGAAAAGTAGCCTATGACACCCGCCGGGGCCCGAAGTCTATGTGTGCCAAGTTTGGTCCGGATCGGTTCAGAAATGGAATTTTCTATTCGGAACATACATACAGACAGACATACATACATACAGACAGACAGACAAACAGACATTCAGCTTTATTTATAAGATTTGAGTCTACCAAGATGATACCTATGAGATAATTTTACAAAGTAAGTAAGAGTTTGCAAATTCGAAATATCATTCCGAGTTTTACGGGCACAGCCTGGAGCTCGTTAGAAAAATTGAGTTGTGTATTTTATCCCCGAAAACTAAACGAATCGGAAACTAAAAACAACCGTTAAGCAGAGAAGAAAATGCTGCATCTTATAGTGTCCGAGCTGCTTCTTCTTTGCTGTTCTTCTATCATGCTTCCAAGTATGGAAATCGGTAGCATCATTTAAAATTCTGTTAAAAATGAATGACCGGATAAAAAAGTTGTTTTGCATGTAGTAGGGTTTGCTCTATAAACACTAACACAAACACTGTTACTTGGTCTTTTTTGGAGGGTTGATATAAAAGTTTAAAAAAATTGTGAAATTTGCCCATCTCAAAAAGCATAGGTCGCAGTTTTTGGTTATTTCTTAAAAGCTCATTGACTGAACTGCAACGGCTTCATTACAGTTATATAGAGGATGATATGCTGCATCGAATGCTGCCAAAACCTCTTAGGAATCTTTGTTCCATCAAATGTGGCGCCCGCTTGAAAAAAGCGAAATTACTTTTAAAACGACTTAATATACTTCGAGTTTATTACATAAAGATGAGCTGCTGTCCATCTCGGTAAGAAAACTATCTCTTTAAGCACTTGATAGCACCATCCATCATGTGCACCGATAAAGCAAAGGTGTGTTCGTCTTCCTCATCATGCAATTTTTGATTGTAAAACTCCAAGAAACTAGCTGGTGAGCCACAGTTTATGGTAGAGCTTCACCCAGATCTCGTGCTAGCAAGGTAACACAACACTACTTGATATCATTAAAACAGCTGAGTGTTAATCGAAGGAGCTCGATGGCTGCAGCTTGAGGTTCGTTTTTGGCAAAAAAAGGTTACTCGGTCGAACTGGCGATCAAATAAGTCATATATACTGACGGATAAATCCAAACCACTAAACTCAGGTATACTGTGCTTACTTGCGAAGCGCCTTTTCAAAAAATGTTGCGAGCTTCTTAGAGGTCCAATTTGCGTGCATTTTAGGTTGCAAGATCCCCACAAGTATAGAGTATGTAAGCCCAAGCAAGCTCTTAGCAAGCATTCTACTCCAATGTGTAATCCAATCATGTTTTTGTTGTTCACAAGCCGTTTTTTTTGCGCTACACTTCCACAACAATCATAGAAAGGGGCACACAAGCTTCTTGAAAGAAATACTTTGCAGATACGGAAGAATATTGGAGGTTGGTTCTTTTAGATCAATTCATTGGTATGCATTATCTTTCAAATAGCCTATGCGACTAGTTGTAAGTGACCTACTTTTGTGAGTCATCACTTTGTTTCTACAAGAACAATATAATTTTCCTTAGAAACCTCTCACACGTCACACTCAAAAGATCAGGACAGCCATCGCGAAGTAAGACTTACGCGTTCTGTGGCGCTGCATGGGGCTAAGTATAGGCCGTCCGCTTTGCGCACGGAGAGCAACGCTGTTGCGTACATTGAAGGCAGTTCACGACTGGAAGAAGCGCTGAGAAAAACAGGCGGCGAGAGCGCACGAGGAAATAGGAGTGATGCGCAATACACACCCTGCGCGCTCTCCGCGCTCTGCGCGGACGACCTATACCGCTTTTTTATTCACGAGGAAATGGTCAGAAAATAGCCCAGCCATTTCAAGCAAGCTGTATACATCGGATTCGTCTTAAAACGCTGATTTGAAATATATGCTTATCATCTCCCAAGCGACTATCTGGAGGAGTTGTGAGCGTTCAAGTATGGGAAATTTTCGTGTTTCGAGAAAAAATGTTTTCTTGAAAAGCATCCTGATGGCGCGGATTTACAGTGGCTATATTGATTTGATTACAAAGAAGAAGCACATTCATCACAAACCTAAACAAGTGTTTTTGAAACCTGTTTCGTGGAATATGCGCCAGAAAACACTTGACAAATCGCACATTCAAACGTTTATGACTCCTCTCAGACAGTCGCTTGGCAGACAAAAGCGTTTCAAGGCAAGTCCGAAGTTATACAGCACATTTGGTATGGATAGGTTAAGTTCTGACCATTCTCTGCTCAGTAGTCACAGGCTGCAACAGCTGTGATGAGCCAATAAGTAGCATGATTGTTATGTATAGCTTCCATCCCGTCGATGTAAAGGTAACCTAATTTCTGAGGACAGCTGAGCATGCCCTGTGAATAACATTAAGCTGACTAACTATTATATTTCGCCAAAGAAATGCTGGTTGAGGACTGACCTTTTATCATTTCTCTCTCATCTATTCGACGTTCTGTTCACTATGGCATATTATCTATGTCGGATCGGCATTTGAATAGATTTATTATCTTTGAAAATAATGGATTGAGAGAAGGTATCGACTTGCATTCGGTAGGGACTATATGTCGCCGAAAGTGGGATCCCACTTTCGGCCCACCCGTGGGTCGTATTATCCAAAATGGTAGTCTTTTTGGAGGAAGTTCAAATTATGTCGTACTTCTTAACTATAATTTTGCAGGGCAGACATCCTAACATATCATTTTGACCCTGAAAGATCCACTCTTCTTCTATCAAAGGTGATTCATCTGTTTTATGTGGTCCTAGTATCAATAATTCTTGTTTTCAGAAAAAACGTGTCGTCATCGAAGACTCTGAAGGGGAGTACCGGTATCACTCAGGAAGACCTGGTGATTCAGAAGACTGAATGCGTAGAAGATGAAGTCGAAGACATCGAGGAAGCCTGATGATTTGTCTACATTTTTTGTTGTAGTTGTTTCGTAATCTTGTGTCGTTATTGTGGTGCTTCGAATTTCATACTTGCTGCCTGTCTGTGTGTCTCATTTCGATGTTATTGTAAAGCCTGCTCGAGAAGATCTTGTGTATTTGTTAATAAATTTCGCGACGTAAGACTGTGTTTTATTAGCAGAAAAGTTACAAGCATAAGAAGTGGGACCCAAAGAGATTAAGGACGTTAGGTAAGTGAAAACGGAGGCGTGAGAAAGGACACAGAAGACGCAAGAACCTGTTAAATAAGGGCGTAGGCCGCGTGCTCTGAACGCGATCGGGACAATTTGGTGTCTCGCGCAGATGTCCAGATTTTGCCTCTTTTATCGCGCACTTTTGCCGCGACACAAAATCAGGTGTCCTGATTTTGCCGCGACACCGATTTCGCGAGTCGCCCAGGCATTCGTTGACGACACCTCGTTTTGCCCTGCGCGACTCAACCGCGAGCGTCTGAGGAGGTCCCGCCGGACATCTGGGACAAATACACCCTCAATACATGTGCAGGCTGAGTATCTGCTGCATTGTCCGCATAGGACCCTCCCACTTTCGGTGACATATAGTCCTCTACCCACTTGCGATTCGTGCGCACATAGGCGCCTAAGTAATGATCAAACCGTCTGCTGTAAGGATTGCTTATCCATGAAAGTGGAACACGAGTCTATTTAGCAAAGAATCTTCTCCCACCTAGGCTACATTCTTTACAGAGTTCGAAGTAAACATACTATCAGACAAGGAAATTTGAAGTTTATCGAACCACAAGAAGCTGCGAAATATTGTAGAATTTGCAGAGTGCAAAAAGTAAAATGTGAGTTGCTTGCTTAGTACCGAATAGTTACAGTATTAAACTGTGTGAGAGTTTTGTTAAGAAGTTGTTGCAGGTTGACAGGAGGCTCTCGTGCACGAGGTTGATGTGAACAATAGATCACCTGTAATAACAACAATACTACTTCGTTTAATGAAAGAAACGAGACTGAAGACCTGATTGAAGGTAAAGGGACTCTGCAAGCGATTGCAATAAGCAAAAAACGCTTTGAATTTTATAGTTAGCTGAAGTTAATATAAAAGTTCGTAAATGGCAACAAAAAAAGACACGCACGATTTGATAAACATCGTCGACTTCCATATCCTTCGAAAGAGCATTCACAACAAATATTCCTGCAACAACGCTACTTATTATTAGAAGGTAGACTACACTGCATCCGTATAAAATGAGATACAATAGCAATGATTGGCGCTTGCGTAAGACATCTCATCGGCTTCCAGATTCGTGTGGAGGTAGTCTTGCCAACTCACCGCGTGGCGGTTTTTGCTAGTGAAAGAGTACGAAAAGCAATGCTTTGACGTGGAGGCTCAACAAGTTTGCCTGTGTTATCAGGCAAAGTCTGCAATACACCACCACACGAATCTGGGAACCGATCATATATGTTTGCTAATGATAAAAAAGAAAATGTTTGAGATTTTGGCAGTGCTTCTCATGAGCATCAGTTCGACACAACACAATCCGTCCCATTTGAATGGTTCTCAGTCCTCGTGAAGCGTAAAAGGCAGAATAGTTACCAGAGAATTGAACGGGTCTTGCATTAACGAGACTGCTCTTCCTTGCCAGAACATCCAACAATTCATTTACGGAACCTAATATGGATTCGCAACTATTCTTTTCATTTTTAGTCGCCTTGTCTGAGCCCTTATGTGGTCATCAAAATAAAGCTTTAGAGTTTTTACACTACTCGTTCTGCCTAATCTCATATGTTTATACACTATTTCGCTTATATACCGTTACTTGTGCATTCAAGTCATTTTCAAAGAAAGATCTTGCTATACACTTCATCCGTGTTTTCGTATTTTCCTAGAGTTTCTCAAGTTTTTTCTTATCTATTTTTTGCAGCTTTATCCAAAAAGTTTCCGCTCTTTGTTTCCATCATAAGATATCCAGTCGTTAGCCAGCGTTCGACTGGTACTTCCACTTTAATGGAAGGAATGATTACTATAAATGACGATTTAATCGAAGGCTAGATAGCAGTATAGCGTACCTTGTTTGGGAAGCATATAAGAAATGCTTTTCAAAACGTCTTCATTCAGGAAAGCCTCATAAGGACAAATGATTGCTTCCACTGGATCTGATGTGCATGCATCAAGTAAGATTGCATCGAAGACATTTCCTAAATCAATAGCTCACCTCTCTATGCTACAATTCACAGCAAACCTTTCTTGACTGCTTCAGCTATGAATTTAACGCCATCGCTTACAACGACGCGATGATAGTCATCTTCAACGAAACCAAACCATTTCCTAGCCATATTCACCATTTGACGGCTAATTTCCACCACAGTTATATTTATCTGAAATCACTCATGACGTTTCCCCCGAAACGTGAAAATTAACCTTAGGAAAGCCTTGATGCAGAAACCCATTGATAGTGCCACCCCCAAGACCAACTGAGAGAATACGAGCGTTGCAATCGTGAGTGAATGTGACGAGATCACTGAGAGATAAAGCCTCTATAACATCTTACTTCTTCAGTTTATTGGAGAAAAGTTTTCAAAAGCCACCGATCATCATAGAATAATACAAATTCTGGTCAAGCACTGTCCTATCTACTCTCCATTGCGAAGTGTCGATAGCTTCTTTGGTTAACTCTGTAACACACCATAATAGCTTTAATGTAAGAGAAGCGGTGGCTTGTTTGCATAAAAGAGTACATTTATGCAGAGTCATTACCTTGTTTCTGCTGTTTCTTCTTACACATTTGTTTTACAATTCATTCATATAAAGATTTAAGCACTAAAGCATGAGCGTCAATGATTTCACCTTATGGTCTGCCGTAATCAGAAGCTTTTTATTTGAAGAAATGAATGATGCGTATGTGAGATGATATTCATAAGATGATTTTGAGAAATTACCTTATCATTCATTCTGTGACTTAGGCCCCGGACAGACTTCACGCGATTTGATCGTCGCGACTGAATCGCGACGAGACAACTGTTACAACATTATTCATGCCGATACTTGCATTTCGGTTGTGATACTTTTCCAGCCCGAACTTTTTGAATGTGAAATGAAAATGAATGGAAATGTCGGCGATTGAGTCGCGACGATCAAATCGCGTAAAGTCTGTTCGGGGCCTAAGGGAACTAAATTCTTGAATTTCGAAAACTTTGGATTTTCCTTGCACGCATTGTCCAAACAAGGTAGAACTTGCTCATTTCTGTTTCCATGTAGCAGATGATTCTAGATTAGATAGATCACAAGTACACTTTCGTTAATGCATAATCAAGCTTTTGTTGAAAATGTCTGTAAAGCGATTCTGAGTCTGCTAGTCAAAAGAATGGTAAAACAATTTTATAAACTCGTAACAATTATTTTCAGCTAAATTGCTCAATTCTATACGTTTGGAGGAACAAGATAATGCGTTTTCTTGTGATGCTTTAGACAAAAATCATTGATGACAGGTGGTGACCACACAAGCTGATAAGTTGAAATACTCGCTTTGCTTTCCAAAATCAGGTAATAAAGAATGCTATCTCTATTTAGACTTTGATCTACTTTTTACTGTAACACATGAAGGTCGTTTTTGGCTTAAATATTCTAAAAAATTTATGGCTTGATTTGCTCTTTGTTTTGATGTAATTCTAACTAACATGTATTATAGAACAATAGACTTATCTTGCTAAAAAAGCATACTGTGTGGATGATTAGTTTGTGTCTAATAAATAATTTAAATTGTGTACATCTTGAGCTGATGGTAATAAAGCACTGGATAGGGCATTAGGAGGTGCCCTATCTGCCCCCCCCCCCCCAAAAGGCAGGGACCGTATCAGGCTGTTCGCGCAGGGACCCGAGCGCGCTTTCTCCACGGTCCTTTAAACTTTTATGCCTCGTCTCAGTGAATCCCGCCAGTACTCAACAGCTGGATTTTCACTAATCCGAAGACTGCTTTTCTGATTTCAAGCTCCTCCCACAGCTACTTGTCGCCTGTTGAGTCGCCCCACATCGTCATTGGCATGGTGTCGCTTCATCCGTCCACGGCTAATCTCCTCTGACATCTGTCATACACACCACTACATTGTTTCTGCTCTTGTACTTCCGTACGTGCCATAAAACTTCTTGTTTCCATAAGTGTTCGAATGAACTGATGGAATGTGTAAGTTAAGAAGTGCTCAATTCTCGCATTTTTCAGCCATTCCTTTACAAATTGGTGCATAGGTTTCATATTTTCATGTCAATTACTTTGCATTACTCACTGAATATCTTCACGTGTGAAAAATCAGTGCAAAATTCAGTCCACTCTTGATTAATCTCAACAAAACTTGAAACTCCTATGCGTGAGTACAAACATCGTATCAGCTTTGATGTTTTGTTGCTTGGTGTTTTGCATCGATGTTTGTATTCACGCGTAGGAGTTCCTAATTTTGTTAGATTGAACAAAATTGACCTGAATTCCGCACTAATTTTCGATAGGAGGTTATAAAATTTTAAAGACGTAATGATCATTTTCATGGCTCTTTCCTGGCTATTGGACTGCACGTAGTCATGAGATAGAAAACAAATTTCCCATTTTTGACATTCTGACCTTCCTTCTTGTCTCTTTGCCTCAAGCTGCTCCATCTTCTAAAGGAGCTATCATCTCAGTTTTTTATGGGTTTCTCGATATGCTCGGCAATTCTCGCCCCCTCTTTCACTTCATTTTTCGCTCGCTTTGCACTGCTTTTGAGTTACTCGATTTCAGAGGAGCCAGGCAGGCCTCGAAGTAAATGAATGCCGCCCTACCCTACATAATTGCGCAATTACGTGAAAAGAAAACAGAAAAAGGAAAGAAAATATTAAAAAGCGAAAGCGGCAAGCAGGGAATTTCAAAAGTTGATTGATTTGATAGGTTAATCAAGCTGTTTTTGTTGCACTAGAAAAACTTTTTTATTAATTCATGCTGAACTCTGTTCGTCAAGAAATTGTCCATCTTTACTCGAGCGGTCTCGCAAAAAGCACACTTCACCGTCAAAGAAACTGGAAGGTGACTGTAGAGATACTGCAGGTTAGCATATAACCACCCCTTTTACTATGCTTGCTTTAACGGTTTTTGGTTTTTCAATTACGTATTGTGCACAAATCTCTTCTCCTTTCATCGGTAATCCCGCATTCATTCAAATCACTTGATTCGATTGGTTGTGAAGTAATATGCAAGCGCTGTTCAGATGTGCCTGGAGAACAAGCAAATCTAACTCGAAGATCTGCGTGCTAGACTTGAAAAAGATATTAGTATATCCAAATCCTTGCACGAAGATTTAGATCTGAGTAGGAAACTAGTAAGTTTTTTTTACTCTTCATCCTGTCCGCAATCCGCAGACGATGAAGATTTCAGGTTTTAGAAAGAGATGAGCAGTTAAATGAATTGAGTACAAAATTACGTCTACCACATGTTAGTTTGTCACTGTTCGCCGATAACTTTCATCTCTTGCATATATGGTCACGAAAAGGTCAGTTATCTTGATCATCCGGAATAAGCCTTCCTCCTTTGATTTCCTTCTTTTCAAGCTATCCATTGCAGCAAGTCGATGTTCCCGATCGCTACGGCCAACCGTGGCTGGGCGCCTGTGCCCCAATGCAGCCAGGATGTCATCCTACACTACAGTGGCCATTTAAGAAGGCAGCCACTTCATACAGCCACCTCATACCTTACAGCAACAAGGGCCGGGTGCTTATTTAGGTTACACTTCTCGAGGTACGTATTTCAAAAATCTTGGCATTTTGCGCATGGAAACTGCGTTTTCTTAGGGCACTGCGCGAAACCGCCTTTTGGCTATTCATTTCGAGCACAACCAGCGCAACCTCCTCGGCTTGACATGGCTGATGCAGCCACTACGCTATCCATCAAGATAGGTGTTATTGATGGTGGTAGGTCACTAGTTTTTCTCAGAAATTCGTCACTTTTGCCCCTTTCAGAGTCGATAGTTAGTGGGGAATGTAGAAGGGGCCAGTTGATACTTCTCCATCTCTACGTACAGTCGAATAGATTTTCCGCTCAATATAGTGTGCTTACTCAGAAGTTAAAGTGCGGCTAAATTTGAGCGTGGCCGGCATTTTGCGCGCGCAAATGACCAGCTCACAGGTGAAGCTATTTGTTGAGGGTATATTTTACCGCATTTAATCTTCTGTGCAAGCAAGCACACTATAATAAACGGAAAACCTACTCGCCTGTACACACACTGAGTTTAGGTTTGTAATGGAAGTAAATGTGCTTCTGCTCGTCTAAGTAGTGACTTAACACGTTGACGATTTCATGCGTACGCACACATGTACGCCCTAATTTCTAAAGCATTTTCGTGCTTGCGTACGTATGCAAGCGCCAAATGCGCGAAAAACATGCGAGATTAGCCGAAAATGGCTCGGTGGTCTGGTGTTGATACAAGCTATAAATAGTTTGTAAAGAAAACGATTGTAACGATTCAGAACTTTTTCCATTCCTGTTCCTTTCCAAAGCGTTAATTTCATCTTGAACTACGTGAAGACATGAGAGAATGGTTCGCCGTCAACGTGCCAATGAAAGAATTACGTTGAACATCAGTGCTGTTTGAGTTAATTTTGTTCATAAGAGTTTAAGGTAAACTCGTGCCGAGTACGAGATTTATGATTTTACCTCATTTACAATTCACCTCTCTTCCCAAACTCCTGATGCTTTATGAAGTGCCCCCACCAAGATGCTGCAGGCCCTGTTGGGCACCGAAGCAGTGAAGATGTCTGTGAGGAACGAGGAGGTGAGAATGGTGCGCAGGACACCTTTCTGCAGTGAACATGAGCTTTTGTGGAAGACTGCAGTTCTGGAAAGATGAAGAGACGTGGAAGAAACGGCTATGGGGACTCATTTGAAGAAAGGTATCATGAATCTCTTTATCAACCTTCATGGGTTTCGCCGCTCTATTTTCATGAGTTTGCTTCTGCTTGTTGTGGCTTTATTCACTTGCTTATGATTCACAAAGTATCTCCTCGCTCACATGCACTGTATAAGCTTTTAGCCAGGATCTCAAGCTTGGACGTGAGTTTGTGGTCCTTGGTCACAGGCCGTGCAGCATACACTCCCACTTTGCTTGAGTTTAGCCTATTGCAAGAGTCGCATTCAAATATCCCACTTATATTGGCCCGTAGTAAATCCCCCATCCGGGCATCTCTCTCGACGCGGACCGGAGTTGAGGTCATCGCGCTTCAGTCCAGCATCCAGTGAGCTATTGATTTGGATGTGGATCGCTTCCTAGACATGATAACCACATGTGTTCTCAAAAAACCAACCACTTGGGCTGGTCTGGTCAAACGGATAAGCGATTGGAATCACACGCGCGCGGTCGTGGTTCGACACCGGCTAGCGCCACAACTTTTGCTGCATCGCCGGACAATCTTTGATAGCGGCCACTGTCGAAAAAAATCGATGATAACCGCTAACAAGGATATCACTTAGCAAATGGACAGATAAAACAAAACTGACATATTTTGACGGAGAATTCATGAAAAACTGAAATTTTTGGAACATAAATAAAACGTAATAAATAAGTAGATTCTCTTCTAAAGTAGTTTTTACAAGAAACTAAGATTGCTCTGCAAAGAAAAAGAAGAAAACTTTTATCCTTGCTTTTGTCGCCAAAATCAGCTG